TCCAACCTAGGATAGAGTTGGGTAGATTTGTGGAAGTGTGACATGTTTTCTGAAGGGATTCTAAAATGACAAGAATGGGACTTACAGCTGTTGAACGAACAGTGGGAAATGCACTCATGCTACGCAGATGGGAATTTATTAAATTCGTGAAGTGCACTACGATTGCTTTCCATGGCTCTCCTGATTCCTGGCTATTTCCAGGTGGATAATAAATAATTGTGTATTACTATAATTGTTTTCTAATCTAGAAGAGAATAATGGCAACCTAAGGAGCCTGTAGCAGGCAGGAGCCCCTAATGCTAATGACTCAGGCAAAGTTGTTTTAAAATGTCAGTTAACAAACGCAAATCATAATTGTGGAGCAGAAAACCTTTCTAGTGGCTATGTAAACAATGCCTTTCTTAATTTAGAAGTGAGATTTAATGTTCACTGGGCATTTGTTTAAAATTTTGCATATACTGTGGGTCTGTTGATCCCCACAGCACATCTGAGTTCAGACTAGCCACATTTTGAGTGCTCAGTAGTAGCCCTGCCTGGCGTGCTGGAGTTGGTGGCTTGTAGCAGAGAAAGTGGAGGCTTGGCGTGTAGAATACATTCTTAGTAAAAATTTATATATAATGTTACTTCTGTCTTTATTGACTTATGGAATATGAGGGCAAGACTAAACAACTTACAGTTTGTGTCTTGCAAAGCTGTGACTCATCCAAGAGCCAAAGTCCCCTTCATGGAGAAGCAGTACATTTTTATTTAAGAAAAATGATGCTGAATTCTCAGGGCAAACTGCCTGGTCCAGGTGGCTGCCCTGGGAAACGGCCGAACTAAATCAGATGGAAGACAGCATCCTCCTGGTCAGGGTGCCATAGTCTTTTTCCGCGTCCATTTTCTCTGTGGTTAATCTGGATCCACACAATATGGATTGGCTAGTTTTGGAACGGCAGTTACTTGTTCTTGACATTGTCAACCTAAAAATAAAGAACTACAATGAAAGGAAGATGAGCATTATTTGGGATCAAAGAATTGCAATTGGTGGAGCACAGATTCAGCTATAAACCCAAGTAATGCTGCTTGTAGGATGAAAGCAAGAGGAAAAGGAAAAGGGAGGGGGCAGTTACACAGGCTGTACATTGATTGACTACTGATTCTAACTTCAGAAAGGTCTAACAACTATGGGTCCTGGTGGTCAGGATGGCCATTCTTCCACTGACTTCTCAGACAGTTGCTTAAAACGACTGCTATTTTGTCCCTGCCAAAGGTTTTGGCCCAGTTCAAACAAAGGTAGGTAAGGTGGCTTCTTTGCAGTGGCTGCTCTGGTTTTCATTTTTAAAATGCCTCCAGTCATGTCAATTTTTCACAGTATCTTTCTGATCTTAGAGAAACAACCCAGTGTAAACTCAATTCAACTCAGGCAGAAAAGAAGAACTCAGAAAGGGCATCAAAGGAAAAATAACACATAACCTGAACTATCACTAGAAATATAGCACAGGTCAGGTAAACTCTTGAGGAATTTCTGTTTTGTCTTGTTCCCTCTTTGCCACTCATAGAAACTCAGGAGGGCAAGCATGACAGCACTTCTGGGGTCAAAACACTTAGAATTTAAATCCTAGAAATAAGGTTTATTTTGAAGGCAAAACTGCCATTGCTGGGATTCCATAGCCGTGGGAGAATGCAGAGTGCCTACGGGCTGGCCACCCAATTGAGATAATTTATCTATTGTCCACACCCAAGGTTTTCTTTAGCTATAAATCATTCAGTGTGCCAAGAAACAGTGAAGTAGGTAAATACAGTGACACAAACTCATGACATAACTGCAAATGTTTTTTTTTTTTGTAAGACATGTCTTTTTTACCCCGAAAGACACACTTGAAAGTGAACTTATTAAGCGAGGGGACAAATCTGGCTGCTGAAAACATTTTAAGCCTTGTTGCCATATCTTATTTAACCTTAAGAAATCCTATTTTATGATAGTAATCAAAGACAAAGTGGTAAAATGACAAATCACTTACATGTAATACAGCTATATGAGAAGCAGTAAGAGTATACATCACTTATATGTAAGATAGCTATATGAGATAACTTCAAAACTTTTCATTGAGCAAGCATTAGGAATATTCATAATGGCTGTTTCTGAGTGGTGAGGACTATAGGTGAGGTTTCTTTTTTGTCTTCTAATTTCTTTTATTTTTTGAGTCATCCAGAAGGACTCAGTAAAACATTTAACTTTTGCTATTTATTTAATTAAAAAACACTTCTGCCACGGAGAGCTGACTTTATCATGTACCTCTCTTCACAGCTCAGTACTGTCTGTGGTCAGTCCAGGGCACCTGATTTTTGTTTTTCATTTCCCCTTCCACCTTGGTCTTAAAAAAGGTGTAAATTCCTGAGCCATTGACGGTGGCGTTCCGTGCACGTGTTTGTGACTAATTTATATAAAGGGCACTGTGCCACAATTCTTATTCTAGCTTTCACTGCGATCATTCCACACAGGTTTTTCAAGTCCATCCCCACTGCTGTGTGTGCATTTAGTCCATTGCTTTGGGCTGCTGCCCTATATTCCTAAATCTGCATCCGTCTCATTTACTAATATATTTCTTGAGTGCATCCACTTTGCTGCTGCTGCACCAAAGCTGCAGAGATATCCTTGACCACATGCTGCAACGGAGCTGTGCGTTTCTCTGGAGTACATATATCCAGGAGTGGAGGTGCTGGGCCACAGGAAATGAGCAAACCTAACTGAGCCAAGACAGGCCAGGTTGCTTTCCTGGAAAGTGGCTGCAGCAGACTGTCCACATTTCCATCAGCAGGGTGCCAGGTTCCCTTATATTGCAAAGTGTTATCTAACTTTAATTGGTTGCTGAAAACATTTAAAGCCCTTTTGAGTGGTGGGGCTTTTTTTTTTTTCTCAAAAAAGGTCTATGAATTCTGCCACAGCCCATGCCCTCACTTTGTGCTTATTGCCACCCTAGGCTTCTGTTTGTTTGCAATCAAAATAACTTAACCTAAGTCAGAAATTTGTACCTGGAGGAGGGATTTTGCAAACAACCAACCCTGGGATGTGGAATTGGTTGAGTTGTAGTGAAGAGCAGAGCCCTACATCTCTTCTGTTATAAGGATCAGCAAAAGTGTTGATCAGAGAGTATGGTTTGTTTCCTCCTGAGATTGTGTACCTACCCGTAGAATGTCTGGATGTTTCCCAGGGTGGGCTACTTTTCTTCCTTTCTTGAGGTACTTCAAGGGAGAGAGCTAAGCTTTGGTTCAAGTTGATCCATCTGGAAGTGGAGAACGAAACTGGTGTACAGCTTCATTAGGAAAGCATACACCCTGGCCAAAGATCTCCAATATCAAGGGTCTCCCTTGGGAAGTGGGCTGCTAAGACGGTACAGTGCTTAGCAGGGGAATCTTCCCACCACCTCTCTCAGGTTGGGGCTTTAGATATCACTGGGTGAAGGAAATCCAATGGGCACAACCTGAGTTGATCAAAGACTTCTCTCCACTGCTGGGGAAGTGAATCAAGAAGTGGACAGTTACAGAAAATGGTCCAGGAGGATCATGCACATGCTTGAGATGCTGCTTTTTTTCCCCTTTCTGTTGAACATTTTTTGGTCCTTCTTTCCTCGTGTTGCATATCAGATATCATGTAGGCCACAAATTACATGACCTTGTGATGCCACATCTCATCCTGCCTGAGTCATGGACGTCACCAAGAGATCCTTAACTTGGGAGCTAGATAGCGAGATTAGCTGTGATGTTGAGTTGTCTCCTAATGGGGTGGGGGTCAGTTCATTTTTGGTTGTATGTGGAGTAGCTGTACTACAGTAATAGCTGTTAAGGTAGTAGCAGTTAGGTGGTAACATTAAAAATATGTGCATAGGAAGAAAGGTGTGCTTGTATGTGTGTGTGTACACACACACTAAACTACCAAGGATACACAGTGGTATACAGTTATTAATTTATCTTCCCAGAGCAGGGAAGAAACTTGTATCAGTCAGGTTTCTGCTGTGATAGTGCTGCATAAAAACTAACCTTCCCAAACCTCAGTGGCTTACAAAATCAAGCACCTTTAGTTCTTACTCATGGATCTGCAAGTGGTTGTGGCTTTGTAGCACTTGGCTCTAGCTGCAGGTTGGCTTCTGGTCTGTTCCAATATCACCAATGGCTACTCAAGGCATGTTCTGCTCATGGCCAACGGCAGAAGCACAAAAGAGGCCAAGCCAAACCCTGTGAGGACGATGAAGCCTCTGTGTTAATTCCATTGGCTAAACCAGTGAGGGTTGGGATCTGCCCACAGTAAACCCCAGCAGACGAGGGGAAGGACAGAAGAAGTGAGAACAATGGATCCATTCCACCAGATGCCCTTTTCTTCTGAGAAGTCAGCCATGTGGTTGGAATGTGTTTTCTCTCTCAGCAGATTGCACCATTATCCTTCAGTGGCTCATGTTAGAACCCTAGGATATAAGAGAAGGTCCAAATTGGGAAGGGAGGAGCATTTGTTCAGTCGTAGATATACTGAGTTTGAAGTGATTATGGGATGGTCATGAGGTGAGGAGACTACAGATCCAGAGCCAAACCATTCCCTTTGTTTATTTTCCTACTCAGGCTCCTTGAAGTTTTATGAGTGGGGCTGATGGCAGGTGTTGTAAGTGTCTTAGAGTCCTCTCCAGGAAGGTGTCCTTACGATGTGAAATTATTCTGGATTCTGAACCAAGACTGGTTCTGTTACCTTTCATGTATAACTCTGTGAGTTCTTAAGTGTCAACATCAAGGTTCTCTGTGTAAAATTTCCATGCAGATTTTTATTGCTTTAGAGAAGTCATATGACTGAACAGCATTGGCAGATTGCATTCTTCAGTCTAGACCTACTTGAGGCCACCATCTGTAGAGATTCTCTTGAAAAAGGATTTTCTGTGTTTGTGTAAATGCACTTGAGTCATCATATCTTGTGCAAATTGTCTGTATTGATTAATGGTCTCTTGTTTGCTTCCTTTTGTTTGTTGTATTTATAGCTCACATTACTTATAATTGTTGGACAACACAATATGGACCAGATGGCTTCATTATTCTGTGTTTCCCATTTTGAATTTTAAATGTTGTGTTGGACTGCCTGTCAGTGGCCAGCTGCGTCCTAGAGGAGAGGATGCAGCCAGACCACAGTTCAAAGATCCCAGGCCAGGCACCATGGACAGTAAGTGCTGTTGAGGTGTTAGCATTTGAGGTTGCCTCTGCCCTTAGTTACACTTGGAAATTCAGACTGGAAGGCCAGGGAGAGACAGAGAGAGAGAAACTGCATCAAAGGCCTTCTGGGTCACTCAGATGGCCTAGCATTGCATTGTTTGAAAAGTCTCTTTACTAATAAGCTCACAGAATTTATTATATATTAGGAATTTTAATTATAGCTACCGATATTTAAAAATAAGAGTATCAGTCAGGGGCCCAGCAGGAAATGGAAACAGATAGGATAACTGATGAACAGTTGGTTAAGGAACTATTTACAATGGTATGGCCGAAGGAAAAAATGGTACAGTGAAGTAACATTCTAGACCTGAATGGGCAAGTGGAGAGAGAACCAGGAGAGAGCAGCTATAGCTATAGGAGAGGGGGACCAGGCCACGGGTGACCAGACATTGGCCAAACATTTTTCTAGGTGTGCCTGTGAGCATGTTTCTAGGTGTGATTAACATTTGAATCAGGAGACTGAATAAAGCAGATTCCTCTCCCTAACGTAGGTGGGCTTCATCCAGTTCTATCCAAGGCCTGAATAGAATAAAAGAGCTGAATAAGAGGGAACACGTCCTGCCTGACTGTGGAGCTGGGATGACAGTCTTCTGGCCATGAACTCAGACTAAACCATTGGCTCTTAAGTCTTACGCCTATTGGCTTTTGGACAGGAACGTACATCATCAGCTCTCCTGGTTCTCAGGCCTTCAGATTCCGATGGGAACTACATTAGCTCTCCCAGGTCTCCAGCTTAGCTGACGCACCCTGCAAATCTTGGGACTTCTTAGCTTCCATAATCGTGTGAGCCAATTCCTTATAATAAATCTCTCTCTCTGTCTCCGTCACACACACACACACACACACACATACACACCCTATTGGTTCTGTTTCTCTGGAGAACTCTGACTAATACAGAAGGCAAAGCAATAGGTACTGTGGTTTTTCTTAGAGGGACACATAGACAATCTTGGCCACCAGAGAGGGAACTGGGGAAATAAATACCTAAATCTCATCCTTCTCCCTTGTGCCTCCAATTGGTTGAACTCACCTGGAAGTTAGAGAGCAAGGGAACAAGTTGATCCCATCTTTAAAGAGTCTGGGATTCAGAGCAGGATGGAGATGGATGAAAATGGGTCCAGAGGGAGAATGGAGCTTTTCTAGACAAGTTTCTGTAACAATTATTGTTGCTACTTCCTTGTATATCCTCCCAGAGATGCTATGTATACAAAAGCATATATGGCAAGCTTGGTAATTTCCATGATATTTCAAACTCTTCCAGAAATACTACTTTGATGGCTGATAACATAAAAAATGTTTTATTATGAAAAAAAAGTTTTATTATGAAATAGTTTTACACAGAATAAACCTAACAGTTATGTATAAAAAAAGCAATGAATGAAACTCCTGTGTATCCCCTCATCCTGCTTAAGAACTAGAATACTACCAACACTTCTCAGGACCACTGTAGGTACCTTCCCAATTGCATTCCCTCCTGGGAAGGGTAACTGTTACTTTGGATTTCATTCTCATTCCTTTGTGATAATAATTTCATTATCATATTTCTGAATATATACGAAATTTCAAAACCATGTTGTCAAACTATGATTTTGACATTCATGTAGTTTCACATTGCACATAGACTTCTGAGAATCAATTTTTATAGTCAATGTTATAATTTTGAGATTCATCCAAGTTGATGTATATTATTATAATTTTTGCTGCTGTGCATTGTTCCATTGTGTGTATGCTATAATTTATCTATTTTACTGTCAATGGACATTTGTCTTTTCTACTTTTTTATAGTATTGCTGTCCAGTTATTGTGTGCATATGTGCATGAACTTCTCTAGGATAGATACCTGGGAGGAAAAAAAACTGGGTGATGGGGATTATCTTCAACTTTACAAGGTAATAACATATTATATTCCAAAGTTTTTAAATTTTCACCCCCAATGGCAATGTATTAATTTTGTTTCTCCATATCCAAACACTTCTTAATTTTTGCTAATTTGACACATAAAACGGTAGGTCTGATTTGCATGGTCTGATTACTAATGAAGTTGAACATTTTTTCACTTGATTATTACCCATTCATTTTTCCTGTCTTGTGAAATACCTATTCATGTTTTTTGCCCATATGTAAAAGTCCTTTATGTATTCTAAACACTCATCTTTCATTAGTTATGTTGCAATCATCACAATCACAATGAAAAAGACTGATAAATTGGACTTCATTAAAACTAAGCACTCTTGATCATGAAAATATAACATTAAGAGAATGAAAAGGCAAGGCACACAATGTGAGAAAAAAAATTCAATATATATACTGAACACAGAACTGATATTTAATTAATTAAAAACTCCTTCAGATCAATGAAAGCAATCCAGACATCTCAATTTTTAAAAATCAGCAAAAGAGTTAACAAGTACTTCATAAAAGAGGATCTCTGAGTTGCCAATAAACATATGAAAAGATGCTCGGCTCATTAGTTCTTCAGGGAAATGCAAGTTTAAAACACAATGAGAAGCTACTCTGTACTCCCCCAATCCTAGCACTAGGAAAACTGACCATGCTAAGTGTTGTCAATGATGTGGAGTACCAAAACTCTTATTCTATACTGGTGGTCATGTAGCTTGGTACAACTACACTGGAAAATTGGTAATATCTACTAAAGCTGAACCTATACAAAGCTATAACACACAATTCCATTCCTAGGTATATACCCAACAGAAATGCCTATAAAGTGTTAATAATAGTTCACCAGAGTCAAACATTGAAAACAGCTGGAATGTCTATCAAGAGTTGTACATCTATGCAACAAAATCGATGATTTTCACAACTATGATAAAGAATGAAAGATACTAGATACAAAAGAGAGCATACTATACACAATTCTGTTTATATAAAATCTAAAAATGGACAAAACTAATTGATAGTGATAGAAGGAAGGATAATTAGTTACCTTTGATGACTTGGGGTAGACACACTGGGGGGCATCTGGGACTAATAACATTTTTTATCATGTTCTGAGAGTGAAGACATGGGTAAATTCATTTCGTGGAAATTCATGAGTATGTACTTATGATTTCTGTGCTTTTCATTATTTATGTAACACTTCAATAAGAACTATCTTGAAAATTTTATATGTTTGGAAATTAACAAAAATGTCTAAATAATCATGAATTAAAAAAGAAATCATGATGGAAATATATAACTTAATAATAATGACAATACCATATATTAAAATAGGTTAAGCAGTACTATAGGGAGAATGTATAGTTTTAAATGTTTACATTAGGAAAGAAGAAAAGCTTAAAAATATGAGCCAAGTGTCCAAATAAAGCAGTAAAACCTTTAAAAAAAAGGCTAAACACAAGAAATGGAAGCAACCTAAGTGTCCATCAGTAGATGAATGGATAAAGAAGAGGTGGTACATATACATGATGGAATATTATTCAGCCATAAGAAGAAAACAAATCCTACCATTTGCAACAACATGGATGGAGCTAGAGGGTATTATGCTCAGTGAAATAAGCCAGGCGGAGAAAGACAAGTACCAAATGATTTCACTCATATGTGGAGTATAAGAACAAAGGAAAACTGAAGGAACAAAACAGCAGCAGACTCACAGAACCCAAGAATGGACTAATGGTTACCAAAGGAAAGGGGACTGGGAAGGGTGGGAGGGAAGGGAGGGAGAAGGGGATTAAGGGGTATTATGATTAGCACACATAATATAGGGGGGTCACGGGGAAGGAAGTATAGTACAGAGAAGACAAATAGTGACTCTATAGCATCTTACTACATTGATGGACAGTGACTGTAATGGCGTATGTGGTGGGGACTTGATAATGGGGGGAATCTAGTAAACACAATGTTGCTCATGTGAAACCTGAGCATAAGACTGTAAATCAATGATACCTTAATAATAATATATAAAAAGTAGAATAGGAAAGAGGGAAGGGGAGCAGAGAAGAAAGGAATTCCAGGGACCCATGGAAGCTGAGAGGCAACCTGGTGGGAACAGTCAGGAACCTTTGGACCCTTCCTCTGGGCTCTCAGCATCTTGGTAATTAACTGCCACATGTATGTACATAAAATATTATTTTCTGGTCATGGGAAAAAAAGGCTAAAGATAGCAATAATAAAACTAAATGAAATGGAAAATACAATTAAAAAAAAACTCAACAAAGACCAAAGATTGATTCAAGAAACAAAGAGAGAGAGAAAAGGCACAAATAAGCATCTTTAAGAGTAAAAAAGGAAGATGTAAGTATACAAGATACAACCATGTTCAGCTGTACAGTTTTGTTTTCTAAAGATCACCCTATTAATATTTAGGGAATTAAATGGATGGAAGCTTAAGTGGATGCAAGCAGACTAATTGAGAGTTTATTACTATAATCCAGGTGAGATATAATGGTAGTTATATTGGCACTAAAGTCTTGCTTAGGAAGGACATTCGCTTTCTAAGGTTATCCATTTACTCTCAACTTTTCTTCTAATATTTGTATTGTTTTATTTTTACACTTAAAACTATAATTTTCATCTGGAATTTAAAAAAATATATAGTATGAAGTAAAGCCATGACTTTTTTTCAGATGGAAAACCACTTAAACTAACACAATTCATTTAAAAATAAATTGAAATACCACCTTTATATTAAGTTTCCATATTTACTTGAATCTGTGTCTGAATTCTCCATTCTTCTACCATCTGTTTGTCTCTTCCTATGCAGGCACTATGCAATAGGTTTTGCAGTGAGTTTTAATATATGGAAAGATAAATTACTTCCCTCATTATTTTTCTTTAATTTTTCCTTGGCTTTATTTCTTACATTTATTCTTCTCTATGAACTTTAAATTCATTTCACTCATTTAAAACTCCCCATTTTCATGCTGATTTAAATGGCATTTATATATTATTTTTAGAAGAATTGACAAATTGTCTTCCCTTCCAGACCCAGTCTAAGTTTTCATTCATTCGGGTCAGTTTTCTTTCCCATGAGTATAGATAATCAAAAGTTGACTGCAATTATGTTCAGTGTTTTATGTCTTTTATCTGAATATTTGGAAGTAATGTTCATTTTACATTATGCAATTTAACAAGCAAATAATGCTCATTTAATTACTTAATAGTCTAAACATTTCTAACATTCCAAATGTGTCATTTTGAATATGAGAATTTCTTCTTGCTCTGAGAATTACTGAAAGCCTCTGATTCATGATTAAGTTGCAGAGAAGGAAAAGGATTAAAATTAGATTAATCAATTTTATATAATTTACCAGATATCCATGTGTAGTTTTTGAATTTGTTATGCACCATTGTCTCTTTTATAGGTGCTCCTTTCAGCTTTGATTTCATCATGTAGCAGAGACATGGGGGATCAGGTCTGGGTTTTGAATCAAACTATCTTCATGATTTCTGGGTGAATCAGGATTAGAAGTTCATCCAGAATTACTCGACAGTCAGTAGTGAAGCTGCTTGGACATCTAACATCCTGCACTTCCCCCACAGCCTCCTTCTTTAGAGAGGAAAGAGACTACTTTCAGATAACAAGACTCTCAATGATCAAAAGATGTCATCAAGATGAGTTATTTTTCTTCGGCGTTTTAGTGAGATTTGGATCCGGCAGACTGAGCTCACACATGCAGCAGAGCCTTATGGATGACTTGGGTTTCCCTGCAGAACTGGTTGTGGAAACAACAGCAGGATCATACTTGAGGCAGGGGACGTTTGGAGATGGAAGTTGGGGGTGAGGGAAGGGGAAGGAGAGAGGGTTGATTAGTTTTCTCTGCCTCCAGTCTCGGTCAGGAGTCAGCTACTCCTTTAGTTTGTTTGAACCTCTCCTCCCTCCTGCCAGGGGCAAATCCAGTTTTTTTAACAGACAACTGCAGCCAAACCAGAAACTGTGTAACTCCGAAAAGGAACTGTTTTGGGAAATTATTTTTCTTGATAGCGTTATGAGAATGTGAGGGGAAAATCCAAATGTTGGTATGCTTGGGGAAGGGATGACACGGTTAATTTTCAGTATATTTTAATTCCAGCAAGATGTGTCAGCCCTAGTCACACAGGTGGGTGGGGCTCCTTTGTGGCAGTGGCTGTCAATCCAGGCGCACGTTAGCATCACCTGGGGTGAATGGAAAATGCTAGTGCCTCAGCAGAACCTCAGCAAGTTCTCACCAAACTGGTCTGGAACTGGACCTGGGCCTGGATGTTTTTTTAAAGCTCCTTAGTGATTCTAATGTACAGCCAATGTTGAGAATGCTGTTTTGGGGAAATAACTAAGGGTCTAGGAGGATCAGGTTTTGTTTTGTTTTTTTTCCCTAACAATGTATGAAATAAAATCATAGCAAGATTTAGCAGGGCACTGCAAAATGCTGGGTCAACAGAAAATAGTAGACATTATCTATCTGAACTCATCTTATTAGGAAACGACCAGTGTCTTGCTGGTTAAGTTTGTGGGGTGATTTTTTTCTAAATTGGCCTTTTCATAGTGAAATAGTATTTCTATCAAATGAAGAAGAATGTCACTCCCTCACCTGTGTTATTATTAAAATTATATCTTGACTTTCCAAAATATATCTGGCTAGAAAGATCTGACATGGATGATGAGCCTTCAGATCGTAGAGCTATACATGCTGCCAGTGTTATAAGGTGGTTTCCATAAAATGCAATCTCAAAAACACTCATTTTGGGGTCTTCTTTCCTTCCTAAAGCATATATGACTGTGTTAGTTGCTTCATGAAAAAATCTTTGGGTCTTATTTAGCCTTAAATTTATAACTTATAGTAGAATGCAGAGGTCAAAGCTGGGATTCATTTATTTGCTCATTCACTTGTTCCTGTGTAAGGTTCAGGGGATTACAGATATCTCCAGTGCCTCGTAGGTCTCTCATTTTCACCAGTTTCTGAAAGAGTTCTGCTTAATAATGTGCAGATAAAGCCAGGATTAAACTCATGTTTCTGATTACTTTTTTATTATTTTTTAATTACTGAGTTATTACATTAGCTCTGTTCTTATCACTTCCCTCTGATGCTCCAATTATCTAGGCATCAAAGATCATAATGAAATAACAAGAGATAATGTTAAAAACCCACCTGGATAACACCAGGGAATTGACATACGTGATAAAACTAGCTTTCCAACCTGGGAATGGGTCCTTTTTTCCTGTGAGAAGTTGAGTCAAATTAAAAAAAAAAGGGATGGTGTATCTGTTGGGACTTGTTTGAACCAGAAGCTCCCGAAGGAAGTTTGTGTGCTTCTTACTTTGAAGTCTGAAGATGGGCCTTGTGGGCTCGTGTGCTGGTTCTGTTCCACCAAGTCCTCAGAGGCCCAGGCTACTTCCAGCTGTCTCCTCTGCCATCCCTGGGCTATGCCCTCATCCCAGTGGGCTAAGATGAAGCTAGGAGACATTACAACAAGTTAAGCAGCAGGATTAAGGAAGGTGCCTGGGGGGGGCCCAGTTGTATGGAGAGAAGGAACAAAAGGTGAGCTCTTGCTCTTAAGATCCTCAGATAAGATCACATGGTAAGATCCCATTTATAGCTTGTTGGCTAGAACATACGGCCAACCTAGTGGAACAGGAGGCTGGGGAATGCAGTCTTTACCTGGGGACTGTGTGCCCAGCTGACAATCAGGAGGTTTAAGAAGGAGAGAATAGTCATTAGGAGACAATGGATAGTCTGTTCCTTACATGACATATGCTGGATTGGATAGTCTCTGGGGAATTACTTTTCTGAGGCTGAATTCTGTTCCACAAATTTCTTATTTTCTATTGGAGACTCATCCGCACAATTAGTATTCAATCACTTTTCAGGATTTCTTCTGTGGGACCACCATGGGATAAACAAATATTACTCCATGGAATTCAAACTTAAAAGGGATCATCGTCCTGCTGAGTTATATTTTCATTCTAACTTATCCTTTATTCAGACAATTCATTCAGTTGTCCCATGATATTTTTTATTGAAATCTCTGTAGCACTGATACCACAAGATGGTAAAGGTGGTAGCCCAAATGGATTTGAGAGATGCCATTGAAGGCCTTCCTACAAAAAAATATTCCCACAGCCTTTCCAACACGTCACCTAAGATTACACCATTAATAACCAATTTCTTTTTAAAATGCAAAGTATTTGGGGAGAATTATAAAGTATTAAGTTCTTTTTAGCTATTTATGCCTTCCTATGAATTAGCTCATTATATACCTGAACAGGAATTTTGAAAGGTGAGAGAAAAGGGAAATATGAACTAGGAACCTGACAGACACTGGTGGCCCCCCCCCCCCATACCTCCTAAGCACCTGCCACTCCAGTGTAAACCATTGCTTTCTACTGAAATATAAGGGCATTGGTTGGGAATGTTAAAGGGGACTGGAGATGGCAGAATGAAAAGACAAATCTCACCACTTCAGGCTCCAGTGGAAAAAACCATTTGTGCAGTTAGTTAATTTTACTTGGAAGAAATAACTCTTTCATGATCTAATATTCATATATACTCAAATAAGAGTAATTATGTTTTGAGACCAAGACTTAAAGAAAAAAAAAAAAAAAAGAAAAAAAGAATCGTATTGCACTACTGAAAACTCTCACTCTGTCCAAAGCCAAGGTATCTGGATCCAGTATCACTTTTACAGACATTTCCTTTCCTGATGGTGGATTTTTCCTTTAATTCTGCTGATCATCGGAAATTTGTCTGTAAGCCCAGATTGAAAGTGATAAAGTTCATTGAGATAAGTTGTCAAAATGGTGGGAAGAAGCATTGGAATTAAATGTCATCTACCATGTCAGTAAATCGGATAAATATCACTTGTACTTCACTGACATGTTTATTCTTTGCCTTCTCTGCTTATGTTCGCTAGTTATAAGGATCTGTCTGAAACTGTTCCCAGAAACGGAAGAAGCCAAGTCAACCATGCTGGGTGATTGGAGTGCAAGTTAGTTGTCTTATGCCAGTTGGATACTGTACAGGAATAGCGCAACCACGGGCTAGTGCGAAACAGTGTAGGGGGAAGAGGTCTAGGTTATTCAACGTAGCAGAGGAAGTCAGTGGACAGCCCATGCCCCCAGGCACTCACCATTCCGGTGCCCACCTATGCCGATGGCTGCTTATGTAATGCACTTGCAACTCTGCCCGAGGGCTTTCTCTGGCTACGGGAGCTCGCTTGTGCTTCAGCCCAGTGCAGGGTAGGCCATAGTGGCAGGGTCTGAAGGCCCCTGGGAGCTACCCTCAACCAGGGAGGGCTGGGTTGGTAGATAAATGCCTCAGCTTCCTCATCTCTCGAGAGGCCTATTCAACACCACTTCCCTGAGATGCTCGGCAGGATTAAGCCCTGTTTGCTCCTCCTAATAAACTGCTTCTGAATGCAATGTATATTGGCTTCCTTCCCTTTTCTCTTTCAGGTTCCCATTCCCTTACCAGAGTTTCATAGGATCACCTCCTAAATCACCAGGAACCCCACCTGAGGCAAAGGCAAGAAAAGTAACAGAAAGTTGAAGACCTAAAGCATGTCAGTGGTTGAAACTGGACTTCAGCATGTAGAAACCAGGTGGGGCTTTACAGAACTTACTCCCTCTTGGGGCTGTGAGAACAGTCATAGGGGACATTTGCTCTGAGTTCCGAAGTGATCGTGCTTAGACTGATGGACTAAGACAGAGATAATTTTACGCATCAAAGTTCCTCTTCACAAGAGCACTCCAGTTGTTTGGAAGTCTTGCCTGCTTGTGGCAGTCACAGAGACATTCTTGATTTTGTGCCTGAGAGGGAGAGAGAGGCTGTTACATGAGTAAATTAAAGTTTGGAGCTGGAGAGTGGGGAGGTCATCCATTTAGGATGCAGAGGAAACAATCACACAGGGGTGCACAGGGGAGAGAGGGAGAGGGTGGGGAGGTGGCAGAGGCCCCTGCTCTCTCACGGATGACTTTCCGTCCAAGTTCTCCAACCTTGAAAACATTATGTTGAAACTCACCAAAGGCTTGAGGTGAGTGGGTTCCTTGTGGCAAGTGGTGAAGGAACCAGTGTTTGCATCTGCAGGTACTTGGGATGGATCAGCGGTGGTACAGCTGAATATCACAGCCTGCCACGGAAGCACAAGTCTGGGAACAAACAAAAGCCAGGGGGAGAATTTAGGACTACCCAGGCCATGACATTGGCCAGGTCTGTGCCCTTCTCTCTGGCCTCCTAGGTGCGAAGGGACCACAGCTGTCATCTCAGAGATGGGCTGACCATCAGAAAGGGGAACCATGTTTCTCCAAAATGTCCCAAACTTTTGTTTGAGTCAGTTAAGTATAGCTCCTACCTGGAACAGATAATTAGTTTAAATGGTTTTTGGAATTTCTTTTGGCTTGCTTTATGACTCTTTGAAAGGAACCTGAAATTGTGCAGTTGGTTACTTGAGAAGTTTTCGGGGAAAATTCCAAGGAAATAGGATGAAGGCTTTAGCTGACTTGGGGTTCTGCTTTCAGCACATCATCCAGCAACTGCCTGATTCTATTTTGTCATCTGTATCATCGTTAAACGTTCATTTTGTGTTTCTGAAATTAACCAGTTGTCTTCTTTTCTTCTGCATTTCCCATGATTGACCCTTGTTTTCAGTCTGAAAAATCTTTCCCTTTCTTTCCAGTTTTTAATTTCCCAAGAGCCTTCTTGGAACTCATTTTTTATCCACCCCTGATAGCCCAGCAGTGTATGTCGGGCCTCCAAGACCACCACGGGAGGACTCACTGGTGTTCTCTGTCTGTTGCCACAGTCATTCTCGTCCGCGCTTTTGCGTTTCTGTGCTTTCAGTCACTCCTCCTTCTCACCTGTCGTCATCCGCTCAGTGATAACCTCCTGCCCCCTCTTGTGGGCTCGGTTGTTCCTGTCCCCTCACTGGTCCTGCAGATGCTTTATCATCTCACATCATCACAGGAAGGGTGAGTGCAGCACAATAGGATCTTTTGAGAGAGTGTGCAAGTGCATTCCCATGCCTTTTATCACAGCATATTGTTATAAGTGCTCTATTTTATTATCAGTTATTGTTGTTAATTTCCTACCCAGTCAAATTTACAAATTAGACTTTCTCATAGGTGTGTGTGTGCGGAAAACACAGTGTATGTGTCAGAGTTGGGTTCCATCCTCCATTTCAGGCCTTCTCTGGGTGAGGGGGTCTTGGAATGGATGCTGTGAGGACAAAGGGCCCCTCCTGTATTGTTTCTGAGTCTGGACTCCTAGAGAAGCCACTGCTGTTCAACAGTGTGGGGATTTCCTGGTGCTACTGCACCGCCGGGTCGTGGGAAGTTGAGCGGGGGAAATGCCAAGTGCTGGGACCTGCAGGACCCTGAGTACCACCACCCCCCATGCCCACCTCACCCCTGCCACCACTCTGGGCCAGAGACAGCACCCTCTGCCTGCTGTGCCCTCTCTTAGTACTAGGGGGCTGATTGCCCGGGGTTTGAACTGGGGTATACAGAAGGGAAGGAAAAGGAAACCTGGGAACCCACTTCCAGGTCAGGTCATCCCTCAAGGACATGGGTCCCTTCCCCAGGCACCCTGCTCTGTATCCACTGCAGCAGGCGGAATAATGCCCGCCACCCCACAGATGTCCATGTTTATCCTGAGGAAGGGTGACTCTCATTCAGGAAAACCCTTTGAAGGGCTTTTTGGTTATGCAAATGAAAGACCCAGAGCTGGCTTTGGTAGGAGAGGTTGAGAGAATGGGGAACTAAATGACTCTTTAGCCATCTGACTTACTAAGGAAAGGCATGTGTCCACCAAAAACAAAGGTCTTTTTGGTGTGGAAGAAGTTTTTGTGGGGCTGAAACTAGGGATGGGGGAGATGGGTAAAGAAAGATACCATGTTCTGAGGGGGCAGAAACATGAAGGCAGCTCAGTGACAGCCAGGACATGTACACCCTACCTGAGAATATTCAGAAATATTCTGGATGCATGGAGCTCCATGGATGGCAAAGTGATGAACCCCCAGGCCCAGCATGCCCCCTCTATAAAGGGGGAGAAAGGAAACGACAGGGGAGTAATAGTAGCATCTAACCAGGTGCTGTTGAAGGACAAATGTGATGTGAGTTACGTAAGTATTTTGAAATTTTCTAGTAGACTCATTTAAAAAGTAAAAAGAAACAGGTGAAATCAATCTTAGTAATATAATCTATGTAGCCTAATATAGTCTAATTATTATTATTTCAACATAAAATATTAATGAGACGTTTTACATATTTTTGAAATCCAATGTGTACTGTACATTTAAAGCACATCTCAACTCAGACTAACCCCCATTTAAAGTGCTCGATGTGGTTAATGGGTACTGTAGTGGACAGTGCACATCTAACTCTTTATACTCTGTGATTAATAAAATAATTCCAAAGCCTTTTTAGAAAGACAACCAGAATTTGCTACAAGAGCCTGCTTATCTCAGTGGCTACAGTTACCTTTGCTGTAAGAAGCAAAACCAAAATCCATTATAGCACGTCCAGTCTCTTTATTTCAGAAGACTGTCCTTACAGAAGGCTCATGAGCTGCTTATGGCTGTGGGTGACTTCTCAGTGGGCGATCAGAATTAAGCCCATAGAGAGATGAAAAATAGACTGATAGAATCACCAATGAATTGAAAAATAAAAATATCACAGCCACGTCAGTATAATGGGTCCTTAGGGGTAAGTCTCCACAGGAGCCAGGTTAGAAATGCAACTCCTTAATTCATTTTCAGAGAAAAATGCCGTGTTGCAAAAAAGAAGGCAGGAGCTTATTGGAATGAAAGGAAAGGCAGTTTTTTCATTGATTAAAATGGCCATATCTGACTCATGGATCTCTTTGTCCCTGCTGTTCATACAGTCCAAGCATCCCAGTCACACCAGCCTGAAGTTTGAATAGGTCAGAGCAACAGAGACAAAGCTCATGCACCTGGTATAATTCAAGACCCACGTAATTCAGGTGAATGTTCTAATGGGAACATTATTTCTGTTTAATAGCTAACATGGCTGTGCCATGTGACAATAGGATTAACTTGGCAGGCAGCTTTGGAATTATGAGATTCTTGAATTAAAAAAAAATTATGGCTGAATAATTTCACATTTCCCACATAAAGTAAGACTTCATTAATCTTCTTATACTGCAGCATTACAAATCTGCTTAATATGAATTGGCAGAAAAGGAGCACACACTTCAGTTCCCAGGCTGTGCCTGCCTCTCCAGCACTGTTGGAACTCAGGTCTCTCTAACACTTTCCAGATGGTCTTGGGAGTCTCAAGGAGGTATCTCACAGAGGCTCTAGGCACTAGCTCCCATGTTGGTGTCCTGTGGCACCCACATTTATCTCCTCTCCTGCCCCAGACCTTTATGGGCAAGTCTCTTCACACTGCTAATGCCCAAGCTGGCAGCTGGCTCACTTTTGGTGTTTTGTAGAGATGAGGCCAGAGCCGCGGCTTCTCCTGAGGCTGCATATGTCCCATGCTGCGGGCACTGATGTCTGCCCAGAAGGCACAGTCTCCCTTTGGTGCAAGAGCCATGGGCAGTGGGTCCTGTTGCCCATGAATGGAACTGCCAGTTGACAGACACCTGGTGGTTCGGCTCTTGGGGGTTTTCTTGCTCTTCTGCTTCAGGCCCCTGATTATTGGACTGCATCATCAATCCCGACTATCTGAAGACCTGTCTCCTTCTTTGACCTTGTCCACCGTCCTAGTGCCCAAACTGTTTTTTACGCCTCTCTTCCCTTTGAATGAATTTCTTTAAAAGGCACATTTACATAAATGCTGGAGGATCCCCTATTCTACCTCCTGAGCCCCTGAATATATCTGATTTTTGTGATGAACAAAATTTAGATGCAAACTGAGTTCCCTGCTATACTTTAGGAGAATATTCTAGATTACACATTTTCCTCTTTTCATAGTATAGTATATGACTAGTTTAGTGGTAAGTTAGTGCACAGCATCCATTCCCATTTGAATTTATAATCAGCTTCCGGAAGAAAGTCAGGCACAAAACAGGTATTCAATGACTTTCTGTCAGTGAATGAGAGTTTTTATTTGCAAGGAAATCTCATTTTGTGAACAAGACTGAGTCTTTTTTCTGGTACCCTAATCAAAGTCAAATTTCAATCTATGTTCCTTTTGGATGGATGTCAGATGTCTGCGTAGGGGCAGGGCACCAGCCAGCGTAGCAGAATAATTGAGGGTCAGACAAACCTGAAGCACTATGAGGGGTTGGATACGTTAGTTAACCCTTCCAATCCACTTTCCTCACTGTGCAAAGGGAATAATATCTAAGCATAGGATCGTGTGAGGATTAAATGAGGCAACAAGTCTGCCGCATTATACCTGTCACATAATATTTGCCCAACAGATGGTAGCTATTAACAAATGCTATTGATATTTTTAGAGGACTGTAAGTCTGGGGAGAGGAAATCCTGGGGCAAAATACCTCTAAAAACTGAAATCAGTCAAAGGGAGAAATAAAGTTTAAAACCCATTTATTGCTTACAAACTGCAGTCCAGCGCTGTCTCTCTCCCCTGCTCTGGAACGAAGCAAGCAGGCAAGCCACCCCCTCCCTGTAAACTC